TCCTCTCAGTTTACACTTGGAAGTGACCCAGACCTCCTGCCACTGCGACGGACAGTAGGGCAAAGGAAGAGTCGTCACAGAGAAGGACGGGTAGCCAAGGGCTGTCTAGTACACCTCACGCCCCGAGGAAGAAGAGGTCGGTTCTGGAGCTCCTGCCTGGCGGAGTAGTAAGGTCAACCTCTAGTCTCCTGCTGCCGTCTACACATCAACTGCAGAAACACTCCTACATTGACTCAGGTCTGGCTTATGTTGTCCAAATTTATACCATAGGTGAACTGCATGTACAGTGCACGCAATGCAACACAACCAAGAACAAAGGTCTAGTTTCTTTTCATGCTAATTCTGTTTTTTTTAGATCTACTATTGGAGAGTACAGTGGGTCCCACTCAATATCATACGTTTAATTGTTTATAATCATACAAACCTGAAATCCAAAACCATTCCTATGCTCTCCCATACAATATGATGTGACACCTGGACTCAGCGGCCACAACTGTACAAGTCCTGTTAGACTTCTTGTCTGTGTTTATACAATGGGGTAGCCTCACTGACCATGTTCACATACCATTGCTGTAATTAGGTTAGAACGACACCTAATGCCGTGACTATAAATTGGGTGTGTATGAAGAGTTAGAATGAGCATTCGCATTTCTGTCAAGAGTGAAGCTCTGTTCTCCTCCATGGTGTGGGGGTATTTGGGGCAATAGATTCTGTGATGGGAGCATCCCAGCTGCTAGCATTTGTGGTGCGTAGCCAGGGGTGACCACTGCTGGGTCACAACAGAAGTTACCGTCGTTGGTGGCATCGCAATGTCGTAGTCGGACTGAGCAGAAGTCCAGGGAACACTGGGAGCACTCTGATGTTATTTGCCCCTACAGTTAGTCACTCGCAATTCAGATAGCTGACAGAGTCATCGAGTGTGGCATGGAGGGTGTACTACCCTCTTAATTGAAATCATGGCACCGACAAATGATATTCAAGAGAAGGATGGTATTAGGGACTGTTTGCCAGTGATGAATAGAAACTCCGGCTGCCGCATCACTCAGAGACAAATTACTCTAATACGCACAAGAGACCACTACTAGAAGAGAACTGCCTGCCACTACTGCAGAGAGTCAGTCTGCCCGAGAAAGGAGAAGGGACAAGATCACGAGAGAGATGGAGTCGAGAGATCCGCTACTGACCCCGTCTGCCTGGAGAGGTTGAAGAAAATACCGCAAAGAGCAACTGTTGGCGCATGGACTTTGCTGCAAGAAGAACTGGTAGATTCCGCCAGAACCACGGAGCTAAGAAATTAACATAGAAGCCCCACGTACCACCAAAGATGAATCTACAGTGTGCCAGATTCGGAGAATAGAACTACACAGCTATTGGAGCAGTTTGACTGGACAGCGAATACCTCACTCCAACTGGGGAGGCCCAACTTCGAACACTGCTCAAGAACATATTCGGATGTCTTTACGCTCGACCCAAGTGAACTCGGCACCTCTTCCATTATGCAGCATTCCATCATTACAGGAACCACTCTCCAAATCGGCAAGCCCCTCAGAATGGATGCCCTTTACTTTGCGACCACAAGTGCACAAGCTGTGTAGGAGATGTTGACCCAGGAATATTCAGCCATCCTCCAGTCCATGGGCCAGCCCCGTGTCCTTGTCAAAAAAAGGATGGAACCATGCGATTTGCGTGGATTATAGACGCTTGAACAGTGCTACCAAACTTGACGAAATCCCATTACCCACGCATCGACGATACTCTTGACGCTCTTGCTGGAGCGAAGTATTTACAACACTGGACATGGCATCGGGGTACTGGCAGGTGGAAATGGAGCCTACTACAATAGAGAAGACTGCTTTCATCACGTATGCCGGTCTGTATATACGAGTTCAGACGTATGCCATTTGACTGGTCAATGCACCCGCAACCTTTCAGAGGCTAATGGAGCTAGTCCTGGCTGGATTGGCTCAAAGCTGTTGTCTGGCATACCTGGATCATGTGCTTGTTATCGGCTCCACCATCGAGGAACATAACCACAACCTGGAGAGAGTCCTAGAGCGCGTTCGCAAGGTGGGACTACGCCTAAAATCAAAGAAATGTAAGTTTGGACAGCCTTCTGTTCTTTATCTCAGACATGTTGTTTGTGAGCATGGAGTAAAGACTGATCCACAGAAGTTGAAGGCAGTACAAGGCTATTCTGTACCAAGGGATGTCAAAGCTTTGCGTTCGTTCCTTGGCCTCGCCTCTTACTATCGGCGATTTGTCCCGGCATTCTCAAGCAGTGTTGCCCAGGAACAACCTGATGGAACTGTGAGCCTATCGGCTATGCAAGCTGATCTCTCCTAAAATCTGAGAAAAACTATGGGATCACGGAGCTGAAAGGTCTTGGCGTCGTTTGGGCAGTAAAGCACTTCATGCCTTACCTCTATGGGAATCCATGCATGTGTCGTGTATACAGACCACCGAGCCCTGAAATCACTACTGAACACCCCACAACCGTCAGGCAAATTAGCTAGGTGGGGCGTGGCTCTCCAGGAAATGGATTTGACCATCAAGCACCAATCTGGCAAGCACAATGCGAATGCCGACGCTCTGTCACGGTTTCCTCACACTTCACCCGGAGACTCTGATGCTGATGTCAGCAGCGGAGTGGTAGCATCCCTTACAGGTGAAGAAGTGAATGACCTCGCAACTCTACAGCGACAGGATGAAGAACTGAGGGCGATCATAACCTACGTAGAAACAGGAGTGACTGTGCTACCGGATGATATGAAGATTGCAAAGAAGCTAGCGCTGACTCAGTCCCAGTTTGTGGTGGAGGAGGGAGTCCTCTACTGGATAGCTGGTGATTTAACGCTCCGCGTCATCCCACCTAGAAGTATGCGAGAGCGGCTGTTCCAGGAGGCACACAGTGGCCGATTTTGGGGCTCATCTTGGAGACAGGAAGGTGCACAGTCAACTCCTGAAGCATTATTTGTGGAGTAGTATGCTGGCGGATATCACAAGATGGTGCCGTGCCTGCCTGGTATGTGCAACCTACAGTACGGGGAGGGCAGTCCGACCCCCTTTGCCCCTGCAATCCCAGTCTTTGGACCTTTGACCATGTTGGCGTCGACGTTATTCAGTTCCCCAGGTCCAGTGCTGGCAACCAGTACGCAGTCGTATTTATGGATTACTTGACAAGTGGCCAGAAGTCTTTGCCACACCCGACCAGTCCGCAGCTACGATCGCACGGCTGTTAGTCGAGCACGTGGTAAGCCGGCATGGGGTCCCTGCAGAAGTCCTCTCCGACCGAGGTCGGTCATTTCTATCATCACTCATGGAAGAGGTGGAGGCCCTACTCGGCTTTCACAAAGTCAGCACGTCGGCCTACCACCCTCAGACAGATGGCCTGGTTGAAAGATACAACCGGACCCTCACAGCTATGGTGGCAAAAGTGGTTCAAAACGGTGGTCGGGACTGGGATGAGAGGATACCCTATGTTTTGTTCGCGTACAGAGCGTGCTGTCAAGAATCCACACAGGAGTCATCATTTTTTTTGCTCTATGGGAGGGACCCAAAGCTTCCTACCCCTGCTGTCCTGAATCCAAAGAAAATCAGAATGACTATGGATCTGCGAGAATACGGGTAGAACTGTACACCCGTATGTCGGAAGCCTGGGGAACTTGCAAAGCAGAGCGTAAGACGGGCCCAGAAACGCCAGAAGACGGTGTCCGAGTTTGATCATTAATACCCTTTTTCTCTGAACATCCTTACATCACCTGCATTTTGAGAACAATAGTGATCAATGATAGTCAACTCCATTACTGTCCCACTGGACTCTAAATTGCAAAGTGTAGCTAACCATTAAGAGAGCTGGCCACCTAGCTGATTTTAGCCTGTAATACTCAGAGTAAGGTAACAAAACATCAAGTTGCCATTATGTAATTATAGTCGTTATTATTACCGACCCTACCTAATGTGCATGTTGTTTAGTGACACAAGATAGTCAATCTAGACCCAGTCCCCAACCCAGTGTGCGAAAAATAATGGAGGGATGTCCAGTTCCAGTAATGCCACAAAACAGGAAGTGATGTCGTGTTGTAAAACATTGCTGAATGGACACGTATAAAATGTAAGCATGTAATAACTTAGCATTCCAAAGTCAAAAATGTTGGAAATCAAGAAGCTTTAGAGCAGATAAGATCATCTTACTTTACGAGCAACATCCTTGGCACTGCATTTTACAAGTATGTGTAGCATAACACAAAATATAATATTATACGTATACTCAGTATAAATATGCAGCACAGAAAGAGATGATTGGTCTGAAAAGTATAAGCACAAACTCGACAGAATTGCATAAGGCTACATGCATTATTATTTATAAAGCCAATCCGAGTTTTGGTTTTTGGAAAAACTCATCGACAGTTTTGTTGAATTTTGTGCAATATTTCCAGTGCAAGGTATGCTTTCCTCCTGTTATGATTTTCACACTGGCTATTTTGGAAATTGTTCTGAAGAAATTCGATTTGAGAGATTGGAACGATTGCGTCCTGGTCTCCGTGAACTATCAGAGTTGGGCACCGAACCTCCCGAACTTCCTTCTTACAAATATCACCTTGTCTCACTGGATCAATGCAGACACTTGAGAATCCATCAAGCCACTTGTTATAGGCTGTAGCCAATTCTTGCCCATAGTATTGTTCCATCATAGTCCTTATCGTAGGATTCCAATTGTCAACGTTTCTAATTGTCCATTTGCCTATATAATAGTATATCACAAATCTGTATGAAGGTGGACTGTTTGTGTGGAATGTACTGAATTAGCTAGGAGAAAGGGAGAGGTATAATAATGTTTATCTTCGTACAGGAATGGCATACATTGCAGCCCTCCTGCTAATGCACATGACAAATGAAGAGGTATTTTCTACATTTTTATTCAGTCAACTGGTTGTTATGATGATGTTTTGTTCAGGACGTGTTCTGGTCGATTTTGACGATATTTGATAGCGAAAAATATCTTGCCAGATTCTACGACAGAAAGCTGTCAAGGTAAAGAAAAAACTCCCTCCTAACTGAGTTTTGTAAAAGTTTTTTTTATCAGGATGCAAACCTGTGGAGGAATATTTTCCCTTCTGTTGAAAGATAGGCAGACCAAGCTGGCTCAACATTTGGTAGCTTATACACACTGCATGTATATACTCAGTATATTACAAAAAAGAGCTGGAGTTGGGTATCTTTGATGGTTTAATTACCCCGGTCTGCTCCTACATACTAAGTGTTGTTTGAGGTTTGCCTATTGTGTTGAATATTTGAACCCCTAGCTTGGTAGCTCGGTTGGTAGAGCGCTCGCCTAGACAGCAGAGTGTCGTGGGTTCGAATCCCTCCTAGAGCCGGGAAATAAGAGCTGTCCTGGGTGTAGTAGACTTGTTTGCCTTTGCCTTGCTACCTCACTTTGTTGCTGACAAATGTGTGGCGTGACTCTTGTCTTTGGACATATGATCATACGGATGCCCAGATGCAACATGAATAATAGATTAGGGTGAATGAGATACGCATTTGTGTGAGTAGTATCAGTGAGCATGATTTAGTTCATTTTGTCTACACATGCTTTGTATCGTGCACACATACATTAGGACTCACTCTCCATCCATCCACTCATGTACATCACATCGTGGTTTAAGTGTCTCTTCACCACTCTACCATGCTGGGACACGGTCCTCGCCATCTGTGACCTGATCTTCTTGGAAGGTTGCTAACCTTTGGTGTTTAGTGTTCTACAATGCTGTGTACTATTTGAATGTCTGTGCAGGATATCAATGCCTCTTTTGTGGTGCATTAGCAATACTGGAAGTGTGTTCAGGTATATATAGTGCAGTAGATTGTAAAATAAATAGAGTGGGCCACCTTTTTAAAGCTGGCCCTAAAAGTCAACTTTCTGAGCCCTTCAATAGGAGCTGATTGTGTAAATGATAAAATATTTGAGTCTCATTATAGATACCATGAAATTCTGTGGAACCCGGCAGAACACTGGCTTGAGTAAAACAAAGCACTGAAGTGCAAACCCTCGGCGAACTGTGACGCACAATCGTAAGTAAACGCATGCACCGTACCACTAATTGATGGGCTGGGTTTAGCTTTAGCTGTTACTCGTGGTCTCTTGCCAGCTCACGCAGAGTCTGACGCGGTCTAACTGCACTACTAGATAGCATGCGAGAGGCGATACACGCCCTGCGTTGCATCTTCTGGTGACTCCGAGGTACGCAGAGCACGCGGGTCGATCATGCCGTAGTAAGCCGTTGTGTATTTGCATATCGGCTTTTTCGCGCTCTAGCTTTGCAACGGAGCGTTTTCAGAGAAAACCGTTCGAAATTTCTTACCTTCATTGCTCGTTCAGTAGGTGGTATCCTTTGTGAGACGAACAAACACCCGAGAAGTGAGATTGAGAGTTACAGACACACAGACACACAGACCCAAGTACTGTAACCCTCGCTGCGCATGCGCGCCGAGGGTTAATTAAGCCCCACCTAATTAACAGACTGTAGAAATGGGTTCATTGCTGCGAGCAGCCTCATTCCAATGGAAGTCATTCTGCAGACTCAAGGCAGTGTAGCTAATGCACACACACAGCTTGAGCCAATATTTTTCTATTGACGAACTCGACCAACTCGCAGGCCAGCCTCTCCTCTATGGCGTATAATCAGTGTCAATAGTATATACAAACGTGCTTTGGATGAGGAGGTCTGTTCACTCTAGTATTAGAGGTCAGTAAACTTTAGGGAGAAGTCTGCTTTAATGGGAGGTTACTGGGAGGAAGGTCCACTTTACTAGGAGGTTGGTCCACTAGGAGGTCAGTCTACTCTACTAAGAAAGCGAGGACATGGCCGCCAACATGGAGGGTAAGAACGGAGGCAGCGGTTGTGGACTGGGCGCAGGCACGTGATTGCTACAGTTGCCATCAGTCCTCGACCTCTGTGCTCATCTGCCGCGAGCTAAGCAAATTCTTTCTTGCAGGAGTGGGTCTGCTCGTCCGACCTCTTAGTGAAATGGACTGACCGCCTCATCGAACGTGCATGCGTACTGTTTTTTGACACTGTTTACACACCATAGTCCACATGAAAATAATATATCAAGCCAGCAGTTGCATTTGTTCAGAGAGGCGAGGAGTAGAATGTAAAGATTGTACTTTTTCCAGTCAGTAGTTTATGGGACGACATACAATTACACTGCGAATGAAGAGGGCCTACGCACACACACACACACACCACAGAGAAAAATTCTGTAATCTGATGTAACCACATTGTACGAACCCTGCTGACTATTTTCATGTCTCCAGGAATTCGTCCATTTCATTCAATAATCTGCTATTCCAATCATATAGCTGAGTTACTGGCCATGGATCGGATTGAGGCTATCCTTCCGTTCATTCAGAAATTACCATCTAGACTATAAGTGGCTAAATTCACTGTACCCGACTGGCTGATGTGTCGAATAAAGCAAGGCATCCCATCAAGTCCTTATTCCTGTCCCTGTGGAGAACTTCAGTAATGTGTGTGGAGCTGGAGCGATATAGGAGCATTCTCCTACGTGATAATCCAGCAGCAGTGCCTACTGGAACCGAGTTAAAAACACCCAAGAAGCGTAGGACAGCTTGAAGTAAGATCTGCTTTACTAAACAAGTTACGTAATGGGCAAATAATGTGCCTGTCCATTCTTCCTCTGGTTCCCACACCCCACTTTTTTGCACTTCAATTTTCCATTTTTGTGCCCAGAAACTGCATTGTTTGCGATGTACATTAAATTAGCAGTAAGGGGAGGGCTAATATGAAATGCTGAATCCCCTTGTGTGGAGTATCTTTGTCCTATCTGTACATACACTGTGGTTGCTAATTTTTTCATCTGGATTTTCTTTGCCTTTCTCTTTACCACACATCCCCAGCTTTCTAAATGCTATTTTAAACTAAGTTAACCAAAGGCTTTTAAAAGTAGGCAGGGGTTAACTTTGCACCCAAACCCACCCTAGTGTGCCTGGCATAGTGTTCAGGTGTTCAAATGAAGGGTTTAGCTCTAGAGTACTTTGTAGACTGCAGGCCAGCAAATACCGCAATAAGGATAGCATAATGTAAACTTAGAATATCTATTTATTTTCACAGGTTTGGCATCAACACCAGTTGGTCACTTTTTGGTCGGATCATAATTGCTCTAACCCCTGTTTCTTCAAGAAATGTATATACCTGCCGCCCGTGACACAACTGTTCCAGCTACCTCTAGTCTATTTGAAACACCTACCAGGAGTAAAAATAAGATTCGTTTGGATGGTGACAGTGAATGCCACTCAGTCAGTTTGTCATCCAGGAAGAGAAAGAGAGACAATCAGGAGAACTCTGATCCAGAATTCAATGTCCCTGCCATTAAAATGAAGGAGTTACTCATCCCAGAGAAACGTCTCCGCCCTTCCCCGTCCTTTTATACCAACAGCAAAACTCATTCTCCACCTTTCTCACCGTCTCTTTCTATTCCTGCAGCATTTATCTTCTCCCCAACTCCTACAGCGAGTTGTGGAACCTTAGTCTATGAAACGCCATCATCTAAACTTGCAGCTTCTCCCAAGACTGAGCGTGAGATGCTATCTCCAGCAGTGAGAAGAAGTGAAAGGGTAGCTCAGAGGAAGAGGAGCCTAGCAGGCATGAAACAACCGTCCTTGCTTTCATTTTTATATCCTGTGAGTTGCAATGGAGTGTACACCAGAGTATTATTGTCCTTTTTCGATATTATTATTATGGTACTTTTGTTTGTTTGCTTTTATTGGGGGATTATAACGCTTGCATTTCGTTTCAAAACCTACTTGTACACATGCCATAATGGTTGTTTTGTATAATGGTATATTTAGCATAGTTATGTAGCCAATGTCATCACTTCTGAATAATTATTTTTCAACAGAGGGAGTGCCCGCTACAAGATAGGCTTCACACTAGGGAGTGTACCAGTGGAGAAAGAGCAGCATTTCAGAGCTTTGCAACTGCCACTTCAGTCAAAACTCACCTGAACACTCAATTAATGTACTAGGGAGTCCAATTCATTTATTTTAAAGAAGTTTTTTGTGAATATTTCTATGATCACATCATTCTGTGTGGATGCCCAGCCATTGTCTTTTAACTTGTATTGATACAGTAAGGGTTGGCTGTAATCAGGTTGGAGTGTCTTAATATTTTACAGCCAACCCGAACTGTAGAAGAGGGAGGTCTGACTACTGCTATATAGTGGTCACCAGTGGTCATAATGAACCTTACCGAAATACCTAACTTGTTGCTGGGTCAGTCTCGGTCTGCCATAATTATGCAGAAACAAAGAAACTATTATAATTATGCAACGCTTATGGGCACCCAGAAAGAGAGTTTCACGCTACGCGCACTCTTGAGCGCTTTCAGTGTGCTTAGCATAACTATCGCCTTCCATAGCTAGCTAATCCATAATTCTTTGTTCGAGCTCTCTCCATTATAATAGCAAAAATACCTCAGCCTTGCAAACACCTCAGCTCATTCCGGCGGCGGCGACCTCCCGATGTCTGCCATTAACCCCGGCCCAGCCCACCCTCCCGGCCCGACCGTTTATGACGGAACTCCTCGAGCTTTCAACGCAACAGAAACCGGCAACTCCATACCTGTAGCAAACACCACGCGGCAGACCTGGCTACCTGCCCCATTATCGACAACGTTCTTCCCCACCACGTCAACAACAGCATGGTCCAGTTGCTTGCTATCCGGCGGCGCCACCGGCCTGGCGTACGGGGGTTCGGCCGTCGACAGTATACTTTCCCTCATAATACCCTTCAGTATTTACTAGTGTGTTCAACACCCCAGCTACATTCCCGTTGGACACTGGTGCGGCTGTGAGCCTTCTCCAATACAACGTACAAAGCTAAAAAAAAGTGACTATGATAGAGCTAACTCATTTGGTTCAATGGTGGAGTGACAGTGTAGGAGATCTTAAAAACGCGAGCGTAGTGCTAGACCGTTAGTGAACTCTTTTAATTATCGCTTTTGTCCACCTGTAGCCTGTGGTCCCAGATTAGCCCTAGGACTCTTTTGGACATTTTAATGGCGGTGGTTAGCTAGCTACACGGTATATAGAATGAAACTTGACAACTTTTTTTTACCTTTCTCTAGCTGAAAGATTGTCATGTGTGATAGGATTGGAGCTATTAACGTGCTCACAATCTATTCCTTGTCTCCCTTCTTTTTTGAAGACATGACTTTTCCAAAACCTTCAGTTCCGAGACCAGAGACTGCATCTCAACAGAATAAGAAGCGAAAGAAGACCTAAGAACGCCCACGCATTATTAATTAGCTATGGTTGCTATGGTGTTTTCACAGTTACCGTACAAGATTTGTATGAAATTCCGTAGTATCATTTTGTAAAGGTTCCTAATGAAAATTGTTGCAAAAAAAGTCATTTTCATATTCTGTGCCATAAGGGCCCTTTTTGCTTGCCAGGTCACATATGTAGTTCACTCCACTTACGAGAGCAGCCACGACCGTCTTGAGTCTAGGTGGCCGTCGCGGACTACGTTGTGGGTTAGGAGAACATTAGTCATGGTAGTTTTCTGATTTTTTCGTTGATGGTCTACCAATTGCACACGGTATGTGATTGGGATTGCTAGATAAATAAATGTAGATAGCTGCAAGAAAAACTGTGCACTGCAATAAAAATGTAAGGCTTCAGATACATAGTAAGCTGAATTATAATTGGCGAGCGGGAGCGAGCCAACCTAGTCGTACGTTCGAGCGGAATTTTCTGTGTATATAATATATAATATTAGAGAGTCGGTAGACTCTCTATATAGGGATGACGCGGGTGAAATCTCACGTGATCCGCGTACAAAACGACTAAAAACTCGGTGAGAATCACTTCCTAGGCCTTCAAAACATACTAGCAATAGTCTACGGGCCCATGTCTACCTATACATGTCCCCCAAGAGCTCATACGCACCTTCAGTCGTCCACACGAGAATTCGCTCATACGCGATTTCACGATTTTCGTGTCATCATATTCTTCATCTTCTTCTTCTTCTTCTTCTTTAAACCCGCTATCTCCTTACCAGTACCAGTTCAAGCACTGATTTTTTCACTGAAGGTCTCCAATTTCGCCGGAGGTGTGCACGGACATCAAGCGATCGTTTCTTTCTTGCCGCTAGTCACTACGGTAGATCATGGAGCTCTTCCCTGGTCGACCTGAACAACGCCATTTGCTGCTTACTCAGCATCAGTGATCCGCGCGCATGCGCCAGGCAGGGGCGTTGTCCAATGTGCTTGCGAGCGTATTCTACCGGGCGAGTTGGCAGACCTGCAGAGGAACTGTCAGCCTCCAGTACCTTCTGTAAGTAAGGTGTGCACATTTCCAACTTGCTATCTTGCTGTTGATATGCACGAAGAGCAACTTGCCAGAGTCTGCGCGGTGTTATGCGAGCCTTGCGGGGCACTCAGTCAAATGGGCCTTCATTGTTTGTCCCCCCAGGTTGTAGCCTGATTACCAAAGCCTGCCAATGAAACCACAACCATGTGCAATAATCTAATTACATCCTTGTTGAAGACAATACATGGTATCTAGCAGCCCATTAGCTACTACTTTCAATTTGTCTATGGTAGCCTATCTACAACATAGCCATGAACATCAGAGTGACTGTAACAATAAATGCAGTGTTGCCAGAAGCTGTTAAAAATAGTGGAAACAAGTGGAAAAATCATTTCTTCAAAATGAAAGGGGGATATAGGGATGGCTTGAAGTACCAAAAAGGAAGAAACAAGGGGTCATTACACAGCAAAGTTGCACAAAGCTACATGACACCATCCCTATATCTTTGTTGTTATATATACGGCTCTGTAATAGAGGTTGTCTTGCATGTATACTTAGCTCAAGGGAAACTTTGCTTATAAACAATAAAACAAAGATATAGGGATGGTGTCATGTAGCTTTGTGCAACTTTGCTGTGTAATGACCCCTTGTTTCTTCCTTTTTGGTGCTTCAAGCCATCCCTATATCCCCCTTTCATTTTGAAGAAATTGATTTTTCCACTTGTATATATGCGTTCGTACGTCGTGTAAGTGCGCATGCGCGTATTTGTACGCGCTTCTTTTTATCCGAAATTATTTCAACTCTCCTCCATTCGACCATCGGTGACTATACCTCTTCCCAATCTCAAGGTGCAACTTGCATAATACGCTAGGGCACATACTGCTGCATGCCAGTTGCCAGGTGGACCACGACTGACGAGCGAAAGCGTAAGGTAAGTACCGTTCTGCTCACCTGCTCACCGTTCTGGCAATATACAGTACGCATGTAACGGCGACAGGTAGATCTGTCTTGCTTCACGAAAGGAAAGCTGTGCGCGTTATGCAGCCCGAACATCGCGGTGAAATCCCAAGTTGGGTCGCTCCCGCTCGCCAACAATGTTCAACATTTCCACTAGTATATACACCTGAGCTTATATGTTTGATTTGGGGGATATATTTTGTAGGGAAGACAGACTATGAAAGAGTGACAAGAAAATCTGGGTGTGTTTGGTAGTAGTTTGCTAGTTAATATTCACGACGTGTTTGTCGTAGGCAGATCCTTTGGTATTCATGCTATTAATTATATAATAGCTGATATTCACAAAGTGTTAGAACCACAGGTCTCAAAGACATTTCTGTATGTAACACCTCCTTCGTGTTTTGTTAAGCGTGTGTGCACGGTGAGTCCTATCGTTTTTCATATCCTGGAAACCTCTCCCTCTTCTACCAGTGCGCAGCTGCCACTCTCTGTGGACAGCTAGTACTCATTGGTGGCAGGCGAGGTGGGTCACCAGTCAACTCCATTCACCAGCTAGTGGATGGACAGTGGGTGGAGATTGGCTCTATGACTAGTGATAGGGGCTGGTGTTTAGTAGCCAGTACATCACCTGACAAAATCATCATAGTGGGTGGATACGAGCTATTTGGCACACTAGATCGTACTGTTGAAGAATGTGTTGTTGTATAGTTTCATGCACTTTTTGTGTCCATTATCTCATAATACACAACATTTCAACTCTCAAAACAGTTAGAGACATTGTGTGTGTCACTGTTTTTGTACAAGAATGATGTAATGATGATGTAATGTCTATTTCATTTTGGCCATGAGATCGGTCATGTCAAGCGAGACTGCGATTCTCTTGCGGTTCACAGCAGGTTCTGCAAAACAGATCCTGTCAGGAACAAAGTTAATGCTTACAATGACACATGCACACTTAACATTGATAACTGAGTATCGTGAGGCCTTTAGAAATGCCTAGAAATTTACCTGATTGTGTTTGGTGTCCGGTTGTATGGCGTATTCATACACTATACACTTCTGGGCAATACCAGTGCCAACACATGGAGAGCGACTTAGACATACCAGTGCACACAGAAAACACCTTGGCACATGGCACAAATTAGGTTTCCAGTCGTGACCATTATGGCAGTGGCGGGAATTGTTTCTCGTGCCTTCTGCGGATAGACGCACACGAGGCTATTAGAAAGTGGTGTGGCTGCCCACGCGTCGCAAAGATCTGCTGGCATAAACCTGGCCACGATGATTTGCTTCACGTGCGCGACTACATAATCATCAGATAGCACCCGTACTCTGTATGTAGACTATTTTACTCGTTATCCAAGTTACGTAACTACCAATTGCTCATTCGTGATCAAGTGTATGCATAGTGGAAATAGTCACGGCTCAGCATAGAGTCACTGAAAGACAGATGAGCGTGCCACGCGCAAGCGCTGCGTCGTGCCACACATACGAGAACAGAGAGAAGTTGCGCAGCCCTGTTTTTCTCTCCACCTCCATCCCTTAGAGATGTCATGGTGAGGTGAATGCGAGACTGTGAGACTCCGCAAAAAGTCACTCCAGAGACACCTGTGCAAACGGTACACCACGTATGCAGCCACTGTGATTACATTCATGAGGATCCGAGTTTATTTATATTATCCTAGATGTCATGACATGTCATGTGGATCTCCCCTCCAGCTCACTGTGCAGTGTCATCTTAAACGAAGACAGCACATGTGAAACTGATCATAGGATACTGCAATCAACTGAGTGGTCGAGTTGCATCCTTCACCCACGTTACTCAACTCATCAGTCTCCCATATGATGTAGTATCACGAGAAGTGGAGGACTTCCTTCATGCGCCATATCACAGAACCTGGACTCGTCATAGCTGACAGCGGAACTAACGTGCTGTACGGGGCATGGGGTTGCGATCTCGTATAAGTAACAAACTATACACACTACGACCGACCGAAATGGGTAGAGAAATACCCTCCAATGAACACTGCATGTTCCGACACTGCTGTAGTTAGTACATCTGATGGTGAATACCTCATTGGGGAGCTTGGTGGTGGTGTTTCGATTGCACTATTTCAAGTGAAGAGCAGAAGATGGTGCCAACTAACAGACTTACCACGACCTCTCACCTTCCCTTCAGCCACAATATGTGGTGATCAGTTGAATGTGATAGGAATTGATGCTAATCGCTACTCGTGTTCTCTTGCAGCCCTACCATCCAGTGATCAACCAATCACATCGCCTCTCACCCTATCCTGGAAACCTCTCCCTCATCTACCAGTGTCAGGCTCAACAGCTGCCACTCTCTGTGGACAGGTAGTACTCATGGTGGCAGGCGACATGGGTCACAAGTCAACTCCATTCACCAGCTAGTGGATGGACAGTGGGTGGAGATTGGCTCTATGAGTAGTGGTAGGAGCATGTGTTTAGTAGCCAGTCCATCACCTGACAAGATCATCATTGTGGGTGGATATGGATCACCTGACAGTACTGTTGAAGAATGTGTTGTTGTATAGTTTCATGCACTTTTTGTGTCTATTATCTCATAATAGACAACAAAAAACAGTTAGAGACATTGTGTGTGTCATTGTTGTACAAGAATGATGTAATGATGATGTAATGTCTATATAGTTAATTTTGGCCATGAGATAGTTCATGCGGTTCTCTTGCGGTTCACAGCAGGTGCTGCAAAACAGATCCTGCCAGGGGGGAAATGGCTTATACAATGATTAATTTTGCATGTGTATTAACAGACACTGTACATTACGTGCCATAATGTTCTGTGATACTCACAGGTGTTGGTTGAAGGTATTTACTTCGCTCTAATAGATGTTCTGTTCTCAGTTTTCTGATAAATATTTCAAGGACGAAATGGACCATTTTTGGCACCTCTTTTTTTTCATTGGGCAGTCTTACTTCACATGTGAGAGAGCCACATATGCTATAATTTCAGGCCATAACTCACTTTTTTAATTGCTCCAGTTCATCATCGTAGTCATCAGACAACTCATCTGATGGCAGATCTTATAAGGAGTGAGAAAAGGGTTAAATTGCTTACTGCACCATATCACTAAGTACGGTAGTACTTAGTATATGGGGATGACGCAAGTTGTCCTGCATTATGCCCATACATTTGAGATTTTCATGTTTCACTTTCAGCTTCAATCAGATCCAACTTTTGGATGACACGGGTGAAATCTCACGTGATCCGCGTACAAAACGACTAAACACTCGGTGAGAATCACTCCCTAGGAGCAATAGTCTATGGGCCCATATCTACCTATACATGCTCCCAAACACCTCATACGCACCTTCAGTCGTCCACCCGAGAATTCGCTCATAGCCGATTTCACGATTTTCGTGTCATCATAATTATTCTTCATTTTATTCTTCTTTAGACCCGCTTTCTCCTTACTGGAACAAGTTGAAGCGCTTATTTTTTTAACTGAACGGAGACAAGTAAATAAAAAATTCTGCGAATTAAAGAAGTATGGAATATAGGGATGCCATAAAAAGCCAGGAGACAAGACAGGGATGACATAGTTCATGTGATGCAGTGGTACAATAGGATGATTGTTACATCTTCAAACTGACATTTCTTGCTCATGTAAATTTTACTCCACACAAGCCCTATATTGTCGCAAAGCACGAGTGATCTCTATCGTATGATGTGCAGCTATGACTCGTTTTCTATGCACGTAAGACTGGTAGCAAATGCCCTCTCTGACAGGTCCTCAGTTTTGCGTTTACTTCAATGTTCGCTCAACTAACCGGTTTTACAATGCTGCTTTCCCTACAGAATTCGTTTGCCAGTCTTCACACTACACTATTCAAAACTCATGTCATGAGTAAGAGTGTTGACAATATGGGGCTTGTGTGGAGTAAAATTTACATGAGCAAGAAATGTCAGTTTGAAGATCATCATCCCATTGTACTACTGCATCACATGCCCAGGTCATCCCTGTCTTGTCTCCTTGCTTTTTATGGCATCCCTATATTCCACACTTTTTTAATTCGCAGAATTTTTTATATACTTGTAAGGATAATATGGCCTGCAAGACATTTTATTAGTGAGACAAAATAAGTGTTCAGAATTCTGCAATCAAGCACCTGATCTCCCCTTATTCAGAGGTTTAGAACATTTTTGTCCCATATTTGCCGTAGTCGGTAAAATTGCACTCCATTCTTTGAAAAGCTACTATAGTGATGAGTAGTTAGTGAGATGGCTTAGGCAAGTGTTTTAGTAAGACAAAATAAGTGTTCAGTGTGATGTAACATTTACGTGATTCTAATTTCGCATGAAACGCGTGAAAAATCAAACTATGTTGCGTAAGGGATAAAATGATAAATGTTACTAAAGATAGAAACAAGTGTGATGGTGTAGTCTTACCTTGGTGGGTGTGGCTAGCAGGGCCAGTTTTCTTGCCAGACGTCCTGTCGTCATCTTCTCTCTTCTCACACACTGACACACCCAATGACCCGTCATGTGACTTGTGGGTGTGGCCAGGACTATCCTCCTCCATTGTTGCTGGGAGTGATTGCTAGGAAACCGTAGATAGGAATGTAATCAAGAACCAACTGGAAGAAGAAACATTTTTCTTACGTGGATTTTTCTTATTCTTCCCAGGTTTGGGGTGTGGTTGGTAGTCATGGAAACGGACGAGACACCGCCCTAATCTCCCTCCTCGTCTCCCTTAATAAAGGCAAGTGTTTCATCCAGTGGCCGAGAGTCAGTCTCACTGCAGTTGTGTTGGGGATCGTCTGCAAGAATGGGAAGCACTTGTTTGACACAAATTTTTAACAGCAACTCACAAAATTTGTGAATTGTGAAAAAAAAGGACAGAGCAAACCAGATTAGTATGACACAAATTTATGTTTCTTTCTTTTTCTATCCTTCATCTTTTTGAACCCCCACTTTTATTTCATTTTTTGTGTACTTTATTTTAATTTATATATTACGAATTAATACCTCAGTGACTCCTTCACTGAACAGATTCGCTCCCTGGCTCTCACTTCACCGGCAATCTCGCTCCTACTCAACTGTACCATCAATACTGGCAGACCAGCAAATTTTCTCCACACGCGCAAAGCATCTAGCATCGATCGTCCGCGATCTCTATTTTTTCTTTTTTTCTTTTTTTAAACAGTTTAGCACAGAAGCAAGGAATACATGTAAGTAGCACTCAATTGCTAATACGACACATGATTCCCATGAGAATAAAAATAAGACGTTTGAACAGAGAAAAAGAGGACTCAGAACATGGAGTACTATCAAGATGTTTACTTACGAGTGCGCGTCACAGTGCACCGAGGGTTTGCACTTCAGTGCTTTTCATTGGGTCTGTGTGTGTCTGTCTGTTACTCTACATCTCACTTCTCGAGTGTTTGTTCGTCTCACAAACGACACGACCTACTCAACGGACAATGAAGGTCAGAAATTTCGAACGGCTTTCTCTGAAAATGCTCCATTGCAAAGCTAGAGCGCATCCAGCATTGTACGGCTAATGCCGGTATACGTCATTTTATCAGACTCTCGGCTAGCTACTAGCGGGAGACCGCGAGTAAACGCACACTAATAGCCCAGCCCATCAATTAGTGGTACCGCGCATCAGTTCGCCGAGGGTTTGCACTTTAATTACCCTCGGCGCGCATGCGCAGCGAGGGTATATACTGTAGTTGGGTCTGTCTGTCTGTCTGTCTGTCTGTCTGTGAGTCTGTGTGTCTGTCTGTTACTCTAAATCTCACTTCTCGGGTGTTTGTTCGTCTCACAAAGGATACGACCTACTTAACGGGCAATGAAGGTCAGAAATTTAGAACGGTTTTCTCTGAAACTGCTCCGTTGCAAAGCTAGAGCGCGAAAAATCCAGTATGCCAATACACAACGGACGGGTTGGCTTACCACTGTCGGATCGATCCGCGCGCTCTGCGTACTTCGGAGGCACCAGAAGATGCAACGCAGGGCGTGTATTGCCTCAAGCATACTTAGTTAGCCCGCGTCAGACTCTGCGCGAGCTGGCAAGAGACCACCCTTGACGAAATTTGCTAGCATAATTTTGAGCAAAATAGGTAGCAAAGTAAATAAGCAATTCTGCTAGCAAAATGGGCTGTCAATTGTACCTATGAAGCAAAATAGGCAGCTTTGCTCTGTTCCTGCCAACCACCCACGCATCGGCGCCTCTGCGCCATTTAGTGACAGGCGTTTCAATGTTTCGCACTGTAGAATACACGTTTTATTAGAAATATTATATGGTCAGGGCACGTCCATTTTTGGCTATACCGAACTCTCAGTCATGTTGCAGTAGAACAGTCGTTCCATTTTTCATAATGACTCAGTTGTTTAGTGTTTTAGTATGTACTCAACCATTTTTAATGGAAATTTCTACAAGCAAATTGCGTACAATAAAAAGCAAAATAGGTACACTTATAAAGCAAAATAGGTAAAATATTGAGCAAAAAAGAAAAGCAAAATAGGCAGAGAAAAAATTTCGTCAAGGCGTAACTAAACCAATTAGTGGTACTGCGCATGCGTATACTGACGCGTGCGCGTCACAGTGCGCCGAGGGTTTGCACTTCCGTGCTTTTCATTACCTTTGGCGCGCATGCGCAGCGAGGGTACTGTAGTTGGGTTTGTCTGTGTGTGTGTGTGTGTGTGTGTGTGTGTGTCTGTCTGTTACTCTCAATCTCACTTCTCGAATGTCTGTTCGTCTCACAAACGATACGACCAACTTAACGGGCAATGAAGGTCAGAAATTTTGAACGGTTTTCTCTAAAAATGCTCCGTTGCAAAGCTAGAGCGCTTCCACATTGTATGGCTAATTCCGGTAGTCGCCATTTTATCGCTGGCGGATAATGCGCATGCGCTTATATTTAGCAAAGGACCGGGTCCGCTTGCTCCTTCCATCTTGAAGGCACAAGAAGTCACAACGAATGGCGTGTATCCACTCTCGCGTGCTATCTACTACTGTAGCTGGCCCGTGTCAGACTCTCTGCGAGCTACTTCGCCGAGGGTTTGCACTTTAGTGCTTTTCATTGGGTCTGTCTGTCTGTCTGTTACTCTCAATCTCACTTCTCCGGTGTTTGTTCATGTCACAAAGGACACGACCTACTTAACGGGCAATGAAGGTCAGAAATTTCGAACGGTTTTCGCCCCGTTGCAAAGCTAGAGTACGAAAAAGCCAATATGCAAATATACAACGGACGGGATGGCTTACCGCGGTCTGATCGATCCGCGTGCTCTGCGTACCTCGGAGGCACCCGAAGATGCAACACAGGGCGTGTATCGCCTCTCGTATATATGCTATCTAGTAGTGTAGTTAGACCGCGTCAGACTCTGCGCGAGCCTGCAAGAGATCACGAGTAACAGCTAAAACTAATCCCAGCCCATCAATTAGTGGTACAGCGCATGCATTTACTTACGCGTGCGCGTCACAATGCGCCGAGTGTTTGCACTTCAGACCCTCGGCGCGCATGCGCAGCGAGGGTAGTGTAGTTGGGTTTGTCTGTCTGTGTGTCTGTGTGTCTGTGTGTCTGTTACTCTCAATCTCACTTCTCGAATGTTCGTTCGTCTCAAAAAGGATACGACCTACTTAACGGGCAACGAAGGTCAGAAATTTCGAACAGTTTCCTCTGAAACTGCTCCGTTGCAAAGCTAGAGCGCGAAAAAGCCAATATGCAAATACACAACGGACGGGATGGCTTACCACAGTCGGATCGATCCGCGTGCTCTGCCTACTTCGGAGGCACCAGAAGATGCAACGCAGGGCGTGAATCGCCTCTTGCATGCTATCTAGTAGTGTAGTTACTCTGCGCGAGCTGGGAAGAGACCACGAGTGACAGCTAAAACTAAAAACCAGCCCATCAATTAGTGGTACGGCCCATGCGCTTACTTACGGATTTGTACTTCTATGCTTTTCATTGGGTCTGTGTATGTCTGTCTGATACTCTACATCTCACTTCTCGAATGTTCGTTCGTCTCAAAAAGGATACCACCTACTTGAACGGGCAATGAAGGTCAGAAATTTCAAACGGTTTTCTCTGAAAACGCTCCGTTGCAAAGCTAGAACGCGAAAAAGCTAATATGCAAATACACAACGGGCATGATCGACCCGCGTGCTTTGTGTACCTCGGAGGCACCAGAAGATGTAACGCAGGGCGTGTATCGCCTCTCGCATGCTATCTAGTAGTGTAGTTAGCCCGCGTCAGACTCTGCGCGAGCTGGCAAGAGACCACGAGTAACATTAAAACTAAACCCAGCCCATCAATGGTATATACGGCGTATGCGTTTACTTACGCGTGCGCGCCACAGTGCGCCGACGGTTTGCACTTCAGTGCTTTTCATACCCTCGGCGCGCATGCGCAGCGAGGGTACTGTAGTTCGGTTTGTCTGTCTGTGTGTCTGTCTGTTACTCTCAATCTCACTTCTCGAATGTCTGTTCGTGTCACAAACGATACCATCTACCCAACGGGCGACGAAGGTCAGAAATTATATGGGGTTTTCTCTGAAAATGCTCCGTTGCAAAGCTAGAGCGCTTCCAGCATTGTATGGCTAATGCCGGTAGTCGCGCTGGCGGATAATGTGCATGCGCTTATATTTAGCACAGGCTTACCTCGACCGGGTCCGCTTGCTCTGTCTATCTTGAAGGCACAAGAAGTCACAACGAATGGACTCTCGCGTGCTATCTACTACTGTAATTAGCCCGTGTCAGACTCTCTGCGAGCTACTTCGCCGAGGGTTTGCACTTTAGTGCTTTTCATTGGGTCTGTGTGTCTGTCTGTTACTCTTCATCTCACTTCTCGAGTGTTCGTTCGTCTCACAAAGGATACCACCTACTGAACGGGCAATGAAGGTCAGAATTTCGAACGGTTTTCCTTGAAAACGCTCCGTTGCAAAGCTAGAGCGCTTCCACCATTGTGCGGCTAATGCGTAGTCGGCCGTTTTTATCGCTGTGGAAAATGCGCATGCGGGCCCGCTTGCTCTGTGTATCTTGAAGGCACAAGAAGTCACAACGATAGGCGTGTATATATCGACTCCCGCATGCTATGAGTATCTACTACTGTAGCTAGCTCGTGTCAGACTCTCCGCGAGCTATATATACTAGCGGGAGACCACCACGAAAGAGCCCAGCCCATCAATTGGCAGTACCGCGCATGCGCAGTTCGCCGAGGGTTTGCACTGTAGTGCTTTTCATTAGAGAATAAATAGATTATATACATGGCCAAAATGAAATAGACATTACATCATCATTACATCATTCTTGTAAAAAACAGTGACACACACACAATGTCTCTAACTGTTTTGAGAGTTCAAATGTTATGTATTATGAGGTGATGGACACAAAAAGTGTATGAAACTATACAACAACACATTCTTCAACACTATTCAACAAAAATTCATCGTATCCACCCACTATGATTATCTTGTCAGGTGATGTACTGGCTACTAAACAGCAGTACCTACCACTAGTCATAGAGCTAATCTTCACCCACTGTCCATCCACTAGCTTGTGAATGGGGTTGACTGATGATGACCCACCTCGCCTGCCACCAATGAGTACTAGCTTTCCACAGAGAGTGGCAGCTGTTGACTCTCTCACTGGTAGAGGAGGGAGTGGCATCCAGAATAGGGTGAGAGGTGATGTGATTGGTTGATCACTGGATGGTAGGGTTGCAAGAGAACATGAGTAGCCATTAGCACCAGTTCCTATCACATTCAACTGACCACCACATAATGTGGCTGAAGGGTAGACGAGAGGTTGTGGTAAGTCTGTTAGTTTGTACCATCTTCTGCTCCGCACTTGAAATAGTTCAACTGTAGCAGTCCAATCATCACTATCATTACATGCACACCCCCCAATCACAATGAGGTATTCGCCATCAGATGTTTTAACTACAGCAGTGTGGGAACGTGCAGTGTTCATTGGAGGGTATTTGTTAACCCCTTTAATCTTTTGTAGTGTGTATAGTTTGTTAGTACGGCGAGATCCATCCACTCCCCCCACAGCAGTTAGTTCCCTGTTAATAATGACTAGTCCAGAGTTCTCATAAGGACATGAAAGTTCCTCCCATTTCTCAGTACTACATTCATATTGGTAGACTGAGTTGGAGCCAAGTGGGGTGAAGTATGCAAATCGACCATCAGTTGTTGCAGATCCTCTGACCATTCCACATGGTGCTGCCTTCTTACGATGACACTTCGCAGTGCGCTGAGGGGAGATCACATGACATGTAATGACATCATAATCATCAAATCTGGACCTCAGAATGTAACACTATGGCTGCATACATGTGTACAGTTTGCACATGTGTCATGCAAATTGATTGTAATTATCGATTACAGGCTACAGCTAGTTTATAGGCTCAAAATCCACACCCTCCACACATTTTCTATGGGAGAGAAAACAAGTGCGTGACTTCTCTCTGTCTCTTATATGTGGCACAACCAGCCTTGCGCATGGCAACGCTCATCTCTTTCAGTGACTCTGGCTGAGTCTCAAACCTGATTATTGTCCACATGCATACACTTTTTATATGAATGACACAGTAAGATTACGTAATGAAGAACGAGTAAATAGTCTACATACAGTACGGGTGCTACATATGTATAGTATGTGCAAACATAGTGGCCAGTTTAGAGCATGTATTCACAAACTTTTGCGACGCATGGGCCACACCCACTTTCTAATAATTATGGCTGTTTTGTCTACCGTAGAAGGCCACATAATGGCGATGGAACCATTTGGTGTCATGTGCCAAGTTGTGCACTGGTATTCATTGTATGTATGTGCACTGGTATCCCATAGTGTATATATAGTGTATGAATATGCCATACAACTGGACACCAACACAATGAAAAACACTTGAAAGTGCATAACCCTCGCCACTTTATTCTTCATTTCAGCAGCCATTGGCTACTAGCTACACTACCTCAGACTTTTGCACATGCGTATTCAATACTAGTTACTACTACAGGAAAGTGAAAAGCACTTGACAGTACATAACCCTCACCACTTTATTCAGCTACTTATAGCTACACTACATAAGTGACTCCTTCACTGAACAGATTCACTGGGCGTGTGCTGCTCTCACTTCACCGGCAATCTCGCTCCTACTCAACTGTACCATCAGTACAGGCAGACCAGCAAATTTTTTACACACGCGCAAAGCAACAAACATCTAAGTATATACAGCGATCTGTAATTGACGCACACTCACCTCGACAGCCGCCCGTTTCACCAGCTTCTCCGCTCCATAATCTTATTTTACCATGCATGCCTCCTACTTGATAATTGGCGAGCGGGAGCGAGCTAACCTAGTGGTCCAAATGGCGCGATTTTTCTATTTATTGGCGAGCGGGAGCTCGCCAATAAATAGACGCTCTTGCTGCTAGCTCGATGCCGAGCCAGGGAGAGAACTCTCGTCCATTTGGCGGCATTCGCTGCACTCTTTGGTACCTTACCGAGGCTTGCAATCTTCGTGGTTCCAAGCTGCAAGTTATAAGTAGCCTAGGTTGGCTCGTGCGGATATAATCATTGTGTGCTCGCTCCCGCTCGCCAAAAATGCTGTGCATTCGCCTACTAGTATGTCCACGTTTCACGCTCAGAGCTGCCGCGGTTACCAAGAAAAACGGTGGACAGACGGACGGACGGACGGACACACTCATGCGCACGCACACACACGTACACGCACGCACACACACACACACACCATTTTTATACTTGTGAGTATCACTAGACATCACCAGGACCCATAGACTTAGAGCAACCAGCCACTTGCCCCTTAGGAAATTCCATGTCTATGACATCACAACTCCCTCTAAATACCCTACTGTGAACCATAGGAGTGCAAGTCCCTCAGAGAGCCTAAGCTATGTGATTGAAACTACTTCAATACAGTACTGTAAGCTGTACATTTTGCACGAGAGTCTGTGACATTGGATGTGTGGGGAGAGTTGGCTAGCCATCAAAGATCTTTAACCCACCGTCCCCAGTTCTCAAGGCTGGGCATCCATGTCCTGATCTTGTGTTTGTATGAGTGAGACTGTGTAATTACAGTGTGAAAGGCTAGGGTTGCACAAGCGCAAAACACTGAAGCAGAAGTGGGTACCCTGGTAAATCTAAAAATACATGAAAAGTATATTTATAGCATACTAGCCACAGAGAATAGAAAAGAAAGAAAGAAAACCAGAAGTCACCCTCCAACCCCCATCCTCCACCCACACACAGACACAAACCACACAGTTGCACACAACCGGCAGGACACCAGGTGCCTAGCCTTGAGAACTGTGTAACTTTGACCACTGAGCTGCCAAGTTCACAAAAGTCTCCCAGCCTCTGGTCTCATTGTGTTTGTGTTTGGTCACTTTCCTTTCTCCCCCTTTCCCTCCCTTTCTCCTCGATCACCCCCACAAACACAACCACACACACACACACACACACACACACACACACAGACCAACTACAATAACCCTCGCTGTGCATGCGCGCAGGCGAGGGTTAATGAGTAAATTTCTAGGCATTTCTAAAGGCCCCATGATACTCTACCACAACAGTTATCAATGTTAATGTTGCCTACCTTTCGTGGTTTAACTACAGGTGGTAGGGCATGGGGTACAGCTGTTGCCAGGGGAGGAGGCTGGGTCTGACAAAAGAGGGTGGAAACACAGAGCAATATTCACGGAGCCAATGAATAAAAATGGAGCTTAACATGCAAAAAATGATCAACAAAGATATATGTAGCTTTGTGTGTCTTAGCTGTGTCATCACACCTAGTTTTTTCCTTTTTCGTGTTTGGAGCCAATCCCTATATGCGAAATAATTTTACCACTTGTATAGGTTAGGATGATCGTAAAACATTGCAGAACCTCATCCGTGGATCTTAGCATTATTCCGAAGACAAGTACAGCAACTCATTTTCACACCCACTTTACACCTTATACATTGCCACATTGCTAATGCATCTTACACAGTATGGACAGTGCATGGATAGGCACACAATAACCTTCGTGCCATTCTCAACTAGAACTTGGGACCTGAAAATGGACTGGCTGTAGAAATTACCTTGTTCACTCGTAAAACAGTTCCAAAGGCAGAAGAGTGCGGAGAAATGGCTCCAGACAAACTAGGGAAGGCTCCAGTCTCAGCCTCTCTGTATCTGTAGGGAATTATATAAGACATAATCAAAACCTCCAACAGAGCCTATCAGTGACTTACAATGGCAGTTTCAGTAGCTCAGTCATGGGAGGACCGTCTCTCATTGGACAAGAGCTCACGTGAGGGTGAAAGGCAGCCAGCTCTCCCTGCCAGCCACACCCTCTGTCCTCGTGGTGACAGAACACACGCAGCGAGTTCACTTGACGCTTGAAGTGCTTGCTAAACATTGTGCTCCAATCCTTCTTCTTGCACAGCGGACATGCCCCCCTCTCTCTCTGTATTCTGCAGGCAGCTTCCTCTGAGATATGATTACCACAGCATGATGTGAGGTGAGGATGGAGCAGAACACCAGTTGTCACAGGACAGAAGAAGTCATCTGATGGCTCCTCAACAAATGGATAGTCCTCATCCCCTGACGACACTTGGCCTGGCTCCTTGCTAAAAGAGTGAATTTTAAATCTTTACCAAAGATGGACCAAAATGTTTTACTACCTTTTGTTGGCAGCAGACTTAGCAATTGGCGAGCTGTCACTGGTTGAGGATGGAGCCACCTGCATAGAGAAATGAAAAGCACTACAGTGCAAACCCTCGGCGAACTGCGCATGCGCGATAACGCTAATTTATGGGCTTTTAGTATGCGTTAACTCGTGGTCTCCCGCTAGTAGTCTGACACGGGCTAGCTACAGCAGTAGATAGCATGCGAGAGTCGATACACACCCTTCGTTGTGACTTCTTGTGCCTTCAAGATACACAGAGCAAGCGGACCCGGTCGAGGTAAGCCTGTGCTAAATATAAGCGCATGCGCATTATCCGCCAGCGATAAAATGGCGACTACCGGCATTAGCCATACAATGCTGGAAGCGCTCTAACTTTGCAACGGGGCATTTTCAGAGAAAACTGTTCGACTTTTATTGCCCGTTAAGCAGGTCGTATCCTTTGTGAGACGAACAAACACGCGAGAAGTGAGATTTAGAGTAACAGACAGACAGACAGACAGACACACACACACACACACACACACAGAAAGACTACAGTAACCCTCGCAGCGCATGCGCGCCGAGGGTTAAAGACTCTGATGTCTGGTTGATAATGCATCGTAGGACCACACAATGGAATGCAAAGTGAACATACTATGACGCAAATCGTTCGGCCTTTCGCGACGTGTGAAGCAAAATTGCAGGCACTGAATAAAAAACTTTTTTGGTTATCTGCTTGTTGCAAAACTTCGTGTCACAGGCTCAAGCGAAGTAATGTGAACCAGGCTCAAGACAATGACAGCCTACTTACTGGTCTCTGAGGAGGGATTTGGTAGACACAAATCTGTGTTGAGGTGTGGATGTCTAGTCTAGTGACACTGAACTCCTTGAAGACAGACAATGCTCTCTTCTTCCTCAACGTCTCCACCACTGAGACAGGTACGAACCAAGTGACGGTGAAAGATCCAGTCCCAATGCTGTTTAACATCATGGCACATGTCTGAAGGTCGTAGCTGCTGGCATATCGTCTCCTGAACTTCTCCACGTCCTCCAGTGTTGCAGTTTGGGGCCAGTCAAACTTGACTACCATCTTCCTGAAGCCAGGTGGAGGATCTTCATCGAGTGGCCGAGGGTCAGCCTCACAGAACAGAACCAATGTCGTACGCTTTTTAAACTCTTCCAGATCCTTATTGTAGGCGGTCATTTCACTAGCACTCGTGTTGAAAGCCTTATGTTTCTTAGTCAGTTCTCCGATCAGGTGGTCGAGCAGATCAGGTGCGAGGTAGTTCCAGTAGAAGTTGAGGGATCCAAACAGCTCAAGATGGTCTTCGCACTGCCGAAGAGCCTTGTGATTCTCTTTGAGAAATAGTCGATGTTCGTGTGTCCGAATGTTGGTGAGAATGTAGACAACCGTTAGGACGGCAACACCGATCTTCTGTAGGCCTTGGATTGCAAGGTCCTTTAGAGTGTTGAACCTCTCGTGAAGGCGTTTGATTTCAGTCTCCACTGTTGTAACTATTAGATGAGTTACACAGATAACTACAACGCAAGGTACAGTTTACTCTCACTATTAGCAGGGGTTCAGTTGAGGTGGTGGCTTTGATTTGACCCCATCACCACCAGCAGTAGTGTTGGCTACTAAATCTGTTGTGTCTGAGATGATAGAGACATTACCAGCTAACCAGTCAGAGAACTAGTAACAAGTGGAGCTGATCGTAACATACCAGTAGTAGTCTCAGGTACCGCATCATGTGTTGAGTGTAGGTCAGGGAAATGAGCTGCTTCCACCCTCGCAGCTAAACTTGGTAGGTTGACTGAAGGACTCCTGAGAGCTTCCACAATGACCCTCCATGTCGGTCTGGGCTGGATTTGCCTCGTGAAAGCAAGAAGAATGTGCAGCAGGCGCTCTTTGGGATCCTGGTGTTGGCAGTGAATGGCCTCTACCTCGTGTGGCGGCAATAGCTTGACCCCGAGCACTTTGGAGTGGTTCTGCGCCTCCACAAGCTCGTCCAAAATTCCCGAGACGTCGTCTGATTTCAACGTCTCGTCAGCCGCTGGGGCTGCGCAAGCAAATAACATTATACAACATATTCATCCTCTGTGATTGCCCACCTTCCGCCATCTGTAAGAGCAGTAGTTTGCCGTGGAGAGAAAAGCTGATCGGCTCTGTTGTGGTGTGTGTTTACCTTGTATCCGTGCAACGCTCCCCTAGTCCCACGGCACCGCCCCGTTTGATAGTGGAAATGCTTGGCATTCTTTGGGCGAGGGGAGCTAGCTAGCCTTGCCTAACCATCTGCGCGCATGCGCAGCGAGGGTTACAGTAGTTGGTCTGTGCGTGTGTGTGTCTGTCCGACTATTCTGGCACTACAGGCTACGAGGCGGCCTAAGAGCGATACCAAACGCTTCAGTGCTACAAGCGCATGAAATATAAAAAGGCGATTTTCCTGAAACGACTGCGTTCGAGAGATGCCGATGAAACAAACGCCCCCAAAGCCAATATGATCCGCTCGCTCTGTGTACCTTGGGGGCTCAGGAAGTCACAACGAAGGGCATGTATCGACTCCTGCATGCTATCTACTACTGTAGCTCCCCGTGTCAGACTCTCCGCGAGCTACTAGCGGGAGACTACGAGTATACTTATAACGCATACAAAATAGGCCAGTAGCAGTTCGCCAGGTTTGCACTTCAGTGCTTTTCATTCACTGAAGGTAATGCAGCAGTACATATCAAAATGTATCTTGGGGTGAGGATGGTAGTCATGGAGAATGATGTCATCGTAAACAAACTTGTCGATGTCGGAGACCTGTCTTCTCAGTTCCAGTCTCGGGAACTCCGCTGCAGCTGGGGACAGGAATGGGGGAATGACACACTGCCCCTCTCATTACCATGGTCTTATTATTACCACAAATTCAATCAGGGTCTGTTGAGCAAGTTTTGGTATGTTCATTATACAGTGGACCCCTCTAATCATGACACTGATAGGGAGAAGAAAGTAAGGTGTCCGCATATCATGAGTTAAATTGCATGCAAGAACTGTTACTGTAAATGTCTATATTCTCAGGAGTGTCCTTAGAGATGAAAGAATAAGGTTTACTACCAGCAGACAATGTGATAAGCCAATTATTATAACCCACAAATCTGTATATTGAGTGGTTGGATGTGGTTGAGGTAGACATGTGCGTCTCCTAGTATAGGTAAGACGGCAGATTCGAGTGTCCTAAAACCCGCGTGGGAGGTTGGAATGCGCAATAGTACCGAGGCGGAGCCGAGGTTTCTATTGCGTCATTCCAACCGACCACGCGGGCTGCAGAACCACGAAGACACTCGAATCTGCCGTCTTAGTGGTTAAGAATATGGATAGCCGTACGGTTGGCTGTAGCTCGTCTGCCTTCAACCTTGGTTGGTAGCAGCTCTTTGAAGAAAGCACCGGGGAGGAGAGTTCTCCCAAGCCGATACCGGGTGCAATCCACGATTGCGTCGATGCTGGTAAGTACTGACTTTTCGACGGTAGCCCGGCAGGGGAGAGGCCTCCAGATTCCACACTGGGCACTGTCTTAGACTTCGTCGACGATGACTGAGAATCACTGTTATTAGCAGCATCGCAACTGTTCCGAGTCAGGGCGAGGTCTGAGTAGTCTCAGCTCGTGATCGTCGCTTCTGGACGCCCGGTCTGCGCGTACTGTAAACGGGAGGGTCTTAGTTAGAACTAAGCCACCTAACCGCAGGCTTAGGTGGAATAATGCCTCAAGTTTAACATAATTAACTCCCTCTCCAGCCGGGAGACTTTGTACATACTCTAGGAGATGCACATGTCTATATACCTCCACCACATCCAACCACTCAATATACAGATTTGTGGGTTATAATAATTGGCTTATCACATTGTTTTCTGCCAGTAAACCTTATTCCTCCGCCTCTAAGGACACTCCTGAGAATATAGACATTTACAGTAACAGTTCTTGCATGCAATTTAACCCCTGAAATGCGGGCACCTCACTTTCTTCTCCCTATCAGTGTCAGGATTAGAGGGGTTCCACTGTATAATGAACGTACCAAAACTTGCTAAACAGACCTTGATTCAATAATAGGTAGATCACTCATGTAAGCCATCACGAAAATATAACACCTTTTCATATATATTATATATAATAATATTCTTTCTTTCTGGACTCCCCTGACTCCCTAGACTCCCCTGATTCCAATGATTCCCTTGACTCCCTTGACTCCATGGACTCCCTGGACTCCCTTGACTCCCTAGACTCCCTGGACTCCCTAGACTCCCTACACTCCCTTGACTCCCTAGACTCCCTGACTCCCAAGACTCCTTGGACTCCCTGGACTCCCTTGACCTTCTCTCACTTACATTATACGCATGCGTTATGACGTCATGTCATCCTTTATAAGACATAGGCATTTCCGTTATAGCCAGTCGTGATAACTATTCCTATATACGTATATGAGCTGAGTAAAGATATATATTTTTCTGGAGCTTTTTGGTGATCCCGGCTCGCACGTGCTAAGCAACTCTTCAGAGTAACTACACAACAATTGGCGACGAGGATAGACACGTGATGTCAACCGAGGAAGGAAGAGAGGCAGCCCGACCTCCTGCGCCCGTCGTCGTGCCGCCAGCCGTCTCGCTCTCAGCTGTGGGACTCCATGGTGCAGTCGTTCCGTTCAACCCAGACCAAGACGATTGGAGTGAATACGTTGAACGTTTGGAACATTATTTTGCAGCGAACGACATCGTGTCAGCCGACAAGCAGCACGCAATCTAGGACCGTCGACCTACCGCCTCATCCGCACGTTGGTATCTCCCGACAAGGTCACAGACTTTACCTTCAGTGTTCTAGTGCAGAAGGCTCGAGCGCACTTCAACCCGAAGCCATCACCGATTGTAAAACGGTATGAGTTTAACACTAGACGCCAGGGTGAAAGCGAAGCTGTAGCCACATACGTAGCCGAACTGCGTAAAATAGCAGAGTTCTGTGACTATGGCCCTGTACTCAGCGACATGCTGCGTGACCGTCTTGTTTGCGGAATACACAACAAAGTCATACAGCGACGCCTACTCCAAGAGACCGCCCTCACGTTTGATAAAGCTCTGGGGATAGCCCTGTTGGGGGAAGCAGCAGACAAAGACTCCAAGAGGCTCACAGGTGGTACTCAAGATAAGGATCTACCCGCCCCTATAGAGCATGTGAAAGACCGCCCCAATCCCAAGCACACTGGGAAAGGCAACCGCTACACCAAGACTAACAAAGCACAACAACCACGACAGCAGAGTTCCCAGAACTCAGGGAAACAGGAGTGCTACAGATGTGGGGGCCAGCATAACTCTATCTGATTGTCTGTTCAAACACCATGAGTGTCATTATTGCAAAAAAAAGAGGACACTTGGCCAAGGTCTGCAGGCAAAAAAAGAAAGACAGTTCCAGTCACGAGCAAGCAAACTTCGTTGAAGAGGAAGGGGACAGTGAATATGGCATGTTTCATGTGGGCTTAGGCCAAACAAGACCTCTCTATGCTACCGTGACAGTCAATGGAAATCCTCTGTCGATGGAGGTGGACACTGGTGCATCCGTCTCGATTACCAGTCTTGAAACGTTCAAGACCATCCAGAACGGCGAATCTACGCTTCAACTTGTAGAGTCTACCGTGAAACTCCAGACCTACACCGGTGAGTCGATCCGAATCTCTGGCTCGACCAAGGTCCAAGTGGCACACAATGGTCAAACCCTGTCACTGCCACTGATTGTTACCGAAGGCAAGGGCCCTACCTTGCTAGGCCGAAACTGGTTGGAAGCGCTACAGTTAGACTGGAGGACGATTTTCACGATAGGGAGCAACCACACACTACAGTCAGTTCTGGAGGAGCACGCCGACGTGTTCAAAGATGAATTGGGGAAGCTGCAAGGAGTCGAAGCGAAGATCTATGTCGAGGAAGGCGCCCGTCCAAGGTTCGAGAAGTCCCGACCTGTCCCTTTGGCCATCCGCGAGAAGGTGGAGAAAGAACTCAACAGACTCCAGGCACTTGGTGTCATTCAGCCAGTCAGATTCTCTGACTGGGTGGCCCCAATAGTACCTGTCCTAAAGGGTGACGGCAGAGTGAGAATCTGTGGGGACTATATATAAGGTCACAATCAATCGCGCGGCAAGGTTGGAGAAGTACCCCATCCCTCGTATCGAGGAGCTGTTCTTGTCTCTCGCAGGGAGTAAAACATTTTCGAAATTGGATCTGTCGCACGCCTACCTTCAAGTCCCGCTAGACGAAGCTTCACGGCAACTTGTCACCATCAACACTCATAAGGGACTGTTCGAATATCAACGACTTCCCTTCGGCATCGCCTCAGCACCTTCAATCTTCCAGAGGGTAATGGAGAATCTTCTGCAACGAATCCCGAGAGTATGTGTTTACCTCGATGACATTCTGATTACGGGTTCAACCTAGCTCAAGTTCCGACCAGACTGGGGAACGCAGGCATGAAACGCGAGAAATGTGCCTTCATGCTTGACAGTGTATCCTACCGCGGCCATGTAATCAGCAGCGAAGGCCTCCGTACTGGAGACTTGAAGGTGAAAGCTATCATCGACGCACCAGACCCCAAGGATCTCTCAGAGCTACGCTCATTCTTGGGCATGGTAAACTACTACGGGAAGTTTCTGCCGAATCTCGCGACTACGTTGTCTCCACTCTATCGTCTGCTACGACAGTCTTCAGTCTGGCACTGGGGACCAAAGCAGAAAAAGGCTTTTCATGCACCGTGTCAAGAAGCTGCTGCTATCCAACCGAGTTCTTACGCATTTCGATGATCAGTTGCCACTTCTACTCGAATGTGACGCCTCGCCCAATGGTTTAGGTGCAGTACTCTCTCACCGAATGTCCGATGGAACAGAGAGACCAGTGTGCTTTGCTTCTCGCACATTGACTAAAGCGGAACAGAACTGCTCACACCTAGACAAGGAGGCGCTAGCCATAGTTTTCGGAGTGAAGAAATACCATCAGTATTTATATGGTCGACAATTCGAGATCAAAAGTGATCACAAACCTCTCACTCATCTTTTCCACGAGTCCAAAGGAATTCCATCCATGACCTCTGGCCGCATCCAGCGGTGGGCTTTACTGCTGGCCGCCTACGACTACCGCATCCATATCGGCAGGGTAAAGCAAACGCAAACGCTGATGCTCCTGAGCCGTCTCCTCTCACCTTCACCGGAACGGTCACACTCCACAAGCCTTGCAGAGTTGATCACTCAATGACATCTCGCGCACATCTCTCTCAACATCTCTCTGCAACAAGCCTCTCTCGAGTCCAGATTAAGGCATGACTGAGTGATCTGACTCTCTCTCTAGTCCGTCGTTGGGTCCAGGACGTGGCTGAACAAGAGCGAGTCAGAGTCCAGGGAGGGGCTGTTACATATTCCAGAGGAGGTTGGATTGGGATTGAGGGGGTTGTGTGTTATGGGATGCCGTGTGGTCGTGCGCTCCGTGGGAAGAGATCTCGCACTACAGATGATTCACGAAGACCATCTTCCTGTTCGCAAGAATGAAATCACTGGCAAGGAGTTACATCTGGTGGCCGGGAATAGACAAAGATAATGAAAGATGCGTGAAGAAGTGTCCAGTCTGTCAGTCTTCTCGGAAGGATCCACCAGTTGCTCCAGCGCACCCTTGGCCAGTGCCCGACAAGCCGTGGACAAGACTCCACATTGACTATGCAGGACCACTCGAAGGCAAAATGTTTTGCTGATCACTGACGCTCATTCGAGATGGATGAAAATCCATGCAACCAACACATCGACTTCGTCTGCAACGATGGAGTTACTCAGAAAGTCCTTTGCTTCTCTGAGTCTGCCTGAGGTGGTCGTGTCAGACAACGCGACAGCTTTCACTAGCAGTGAGTTCAGTGATTTCCTTAAGAGGAGCGGAATCCGACACATCCTCACACCGCCTTACCATCCAGCCTCAAACGGATTGGTGGAACGTTCAGTCCAGACATTCAAGGAAGGGCTGAAACGACTGAAGGAAGGTTCCACTGAACACCCGACTATCGCGGTTTTTGTTTAAGGCTCGTATGGGTCTGTGATGCTCTACAGAGTCAGAGCGGGGGCTCTAGCTTTCACCTTGAGAGATTATCCAGACTTGTGAACTGCAGAAAGTTATGTGTGATTATTTTTTGTTTGTTGTTTGTGCCATCCCTAATGGCAGTGCTGAATGAACTTTGAACTTTGTTTACGCGTGTCTCCGCGCGGAGAGTCTGCGGAACGGGCTAGTTACAGTAGTAGATAGCATGGGGGAGTCTATACATGCCATTCCTTATGACTTTCTGAGCCCCAAGGTACACAGGAGTGAGCGGATCAGGTCGCGGTAAGCCCAGTGATTATCACATGCCAATAATCAATACCCATGCGCACCACTAATGGATGGGTTGGGCCACGCTACGTGTCTGGGCAAGTTTCTCCGCTCCGACAACTACCCTGTGTTACGGGGAAACTCGTGTTACTGGTTCCGTCGTCCGCCAGCAAACAGCGATACTACAACTTGCGCGTTTAGCGCCGAGGGTTTGCACTTTAGTGCTTTTCATATAATTATACTAGTAGGCGAATGCATGGCATTTTTGGCGAGCGGGAGCGAGCACGCAGTGAC